CCCATCTCATGCCCTCCCTCCCCCTCCTCCTCGCACTGGCGCTCGCCCTCGCCGCCACCGGCCCCGCCCCCGCCGCCGCCGTCGGCATGGCTCCGTCGACGACGACGGCCGGCCCCTGCCCCGCCGTGGCGCCGTACACGGAGCGGTACGCGCTGCCCTTCCCCGGCATGGACGGGGTCTACATGTTCCCGCTCTCACCGCTGTATACGCTCATCATGCACGTCCACCAAGACGTCGAGTCCGACCCTGCCTTCTTCTCGAGCGCTGCCCGCTTCTCGGTTGCCCTCCTCCACCGGCCGTACCGCGGCGCGCCGTGGACGGTCCACCCGTCCGCAGCGCCGCGCACGTTCCCTGTCCTCTATCTCAAGACGGCAGCATACGCGCCGCTTTCTGTGCCGTGGACGGCTGGCCTGCCTGCCGACAAGCTGCATCCGTGGCCTCTGGTGCCTCCGACCTCGCCGCCGGCTACCGCCGCCGTCTACCGCTTCATCATCTCGGGCGCTGAGGGCAACGACGACGATCCCGGCCGCGCCTCGGCTCGCATCCTGACCGTCGACTGCGGCGCAAACTCGGCCGCGCTCTGGCCGCTTCCCGGAGGTGCACCCACACCTATCGTGGGATGCAGCATGGCGCTTTCAGCGCCGACCTGGCTGGCGCCAAACCGCATGACGGGTCTCGGCAAGTTCATCATCACCACACCCGAGTCACGGGTTGCGTGCGCCTCACTCGACCATGATCGCGCGATGTGCTTCATCTCGGCCGCGATTGAGCACGACGAGCTGGTCATCCGCCAGCTCATCGGCCGCGCCGTCCGCGTCTCCGGCACTGGCCTCACGTCGACCGTCGCGGTCGACGGCGGCCTGTTCAATATCACTGACCCACTCGTGGGCTCTGAAGTCCACACACTGCGGGCTCTTCCAGCTTCGCCCAACGTTGCTGTGCTGTTGGCGTACAAGGCACCGCCAAACGAGCAAATCCAGTGGCACTCTGTGTACTCGCCGTCAGGCGCCATGACGCCGTCGACGGGGCCACCGCGCGGCGAGGCCACCTTCTCGTCCTCATTGGCTGCACTCTCGCCATCGACGATCGGTCCCTCGCTCGGCATCGAGTTGGTGTGGACCTCACACGCCCGCGACACCGTTCTCGTTGCTTTTGGTGACGAGGACCGTCTCTGGGCCGCCACCGTGCTCACGTGCTCGGCCAACCCTGGAGCCAACTTTTCGCTCACGGCTTGTTCGCCGAAAAGCGAGCTCGAGATCGCCACCGCCGTCTCTCGCTTCCAGCTCACCAGCTACGCTTTTCTTACGCCGGCCGAGATGGCGGCAGCGGGCCCAGCGGTGGTCGACGGTATGGTCACGGCCTCGCTGGTGTCCTTCCTCGATCCCAACGGTGTCATTCTTGCGACTATCAATGCTTCATCGTCACACGTGGCCCCCTCGCTCTTCCGCGACGAGCCGACTTTTATCGCGGCCAACATCATCAACGAGGGTGTCGCTGTCCCGCTCTCGCTTGCCCCGCTCGAGTTTGCCTGGTTTGCCCGCGGCTCGGTGCCCGAGCTCGGCAACGAGGAAATCCATGATCGGTGGCCGATGGCGGGTACCCTTTTGGTCTCTAACCCGCAGCCGAGTCTCCCGTCACTGGAGACGCGCACACTGCCCCTCGGCCTCGCCGCGAGCATCGCCCTCCCGATTGGAGTCACGCTGCCTGACATGCCGGTCGCGGCGTGCGTCGACTCGGCGCCGGCTGGCACTAGCGTTGTTGTCGCGTTCGACCCAGACCTGCCGCTCGGGGAGCAAGCCACTGTGACAATCAACATACCACCACTCGCTGGCGGTAAGCTGCACAGCGTCCGCGTTCGAGTCATGTTTCCGGACGTGCTCATTGAGGTGCCTGTGTGGATTGAGCCGGCGCCGCGCGCGCTGTCGTCGCCTGTCTTAGTGCGAGAGATGCTCACGGCAACGTCGCTCACGTTCACGGCAAGCATTCCGCCCATCGAGCCGCTGCCGCCGACTTTGGGCTTCAACATGGCTAACTTTACCAACACCCACCGGATCACGTGCTTGCGCGGCTGACACCGTTTGTCAACGGGTCGACAGGCGCCGGTGTCCTCGAGGCGCTCATCCCGCTCGCCCAGGGCGCCACCCTCTTTAATGTCACCATCTCCGGCCTGGAGCCGGACACGCTGTACGTAGTGACCATGGCGCTGCATGCCGGTTCCGGCTATGGCCCGTTCTCGGCGGCGACCGAGGTCAAGACGCTCCCCGACTGCGCGCTTGGTACAGTGCCGTCGATCGATGACGAGGCGTGTGTCGCGTGCGAGGCCGGTGAGTACGGCGCACTCACACCCAGTGGCCTCCAAACCTGCCTCCGCTGCCCGGATACGGCTGTCTCGTCGCGTGGCGCTGCGAGCATGACAGACTGTATTTGCCCAGGCTCGGCCTTTTTGACAGCCAGCAAGTGCGTAGCATGTCCGCGCGGCGGTCTCTGCACCGCCGCGCTCGGCCCATACCCGTACCCCGCCCCAGGCTACTTTGACGCCACGTCTGACCGATCCGTCTCCGAGTCCTCGGGCGTAGGCTACCAGTTTGTGGCGTGCCCGCTGCCCGAGGCGTGCCTAGGCGGGCGGGCGGGTTGCGCGGTTGGCTACACCGGATTTGCCTGCGCGCGGTGCGCCGACGGTTACTTTGTCACGCCGTCGCGAGAGTGCCGTACCTGCCCGCCGGGTGCGGGCGGGACGGTCTTTGCAGTCATCTTGCTTGTTGTTGGCCTTGCGGCAGGCTACACGCTCCTCTCGTTCCTCGCCGCCACGTTTCCGTGGGAGCTGACTCTTGCGCGGCAGACCGGAGTCGGCGCAGAGGCGCAGTCGTATATGGTACGCCGGCTGCGGGCGCCGCCCTCGCTGCGGTTGACGGTTGTCACCATCCAGTGCGTGGGCATGCTGGCCACCGTCCGGTTTGGCCTCCCCGACTCACTGCAGGGCGTTCTTCTTGCTGCCCACGCCACCAACCTCGATCCTGCGCTCTTTGCCATCGAGTGTACCATTCCGTCGTTTGTGGCACGCTACATCCTGGTCGCCTCGTTCCCCGTTGTCATCTTGGTGGTGGCGTGCGGCATGTGCTTTGTCATTGCGCTCACGGCTGCCTCGTTTCCGATTCTCAAGGCCAAGTACGCGCCCTCGGCCGGGGCATCACTGCGTGCCCTCCTGCCGGCGCTGCTCGAGCGAGTTGTCCTCACCCTCGGCCCGCTGCTGTACATTCCGCTAGTCCGCAGCAGCCTCGCGTTTCTCGACTGCTCTGCGCTCCCGGCGGGGCGCGGCTACTTTGTTGACGCTGATCCGAGCCTGGCGTGCTACTCGAGCGAGTGGTGGGCCCTCTTTCCAGCCTTCTTGGCTTCGGCCACGATCTATGGGCTTGGTCTGCCGGGCTACATCGTGTTCCGACTGAGGCAGTCGTCAGGCCGACTGACGCAGCTCGGCGTCATTGCGCGGTATGGGTGTGTTTATCAGCCGTTCCGGCGGCCGACGTTTTTCTTTGCCCCTATCATGCTGGCGCGGAGCGCCGGCATGGTTGCCGCCACGCTCTTCTTCTCGTCATCGCCAGTCTGGGTTGCTGCGCTCGCGCTCATCATCACTCAGGGATGGATGATGACCATCATCCGGTGGCGGCCGCACTTTGAGCCGCTACACAACTCGCTCGAGCTCGGATATGGGCTGGCGCTCACGAGTCTTGTCCTACTGTGTCTCGTCTTTCTCGCTGTCGACCGACCGTCAGCCGCAACCGTCCAGTTCTTTGAAGTTGCGGGCGTCTGCTGCGTCCTTGCAGTCGCCGCGGCTGGTCTCCTGGTTGCCGTCTACGAAGCTATTGCCATTTTCCGGGTCAAGGCGCAGGCCGAGACAAGCGACCACGGCGGCGGCACGAGTGGCAAGCTCGGCCCGGCCGCCAAGTCGCGGCTCAACATGCGCGAGCTGGTCGTTTGGCACACTTTTCTTCGCGAGGTTGATGACTTTGACAACGAAGAGCTCGCGGCGCAGCTCCACACGCTCCTGGCGGATCTCCACGGGCTCTCGATTGTGGGTTCGGTCGAGGAGGCTCGGTCGAGGCTCGGCTCGTCGGCCTCGACCGGCGCGTTCGGCCTGCAGCTCCGCAAGGAGACTGACGACTTTGCCGGTGTCGGTGGCTTGGACGGTGTCGAGCTCACAAGCATGGATGCGCCTGTGCGACCGGTGCGGCCGACGCGCGAGCTGATGATCTCGCGTGAGGCGCCGGCCCGACCGATGCGGCCGGCACGGCCGGCGCAACATGATGTTGCCGAGCCGGCGCGGCCGGCGCGCAAGACCACGGTGCGGTTTGCGTGAGGAACCACCACAAGAAAGAATACGGGCTGCTGTATCGCCAACAAATAATACGGGTTTACTCATGCGGTTGTGGCGTTGGAGAGCACCGGCAATTGGATGTGTGGTGGGCGGGAGTGGGAGTGGGAGAGGTAGGTGAGCCTTAGCGGCGACGGCCGCCGCCACCGCCACCGTTGCGGCCACCACCGTTGCGGCCACCGCCGTTGCGGCCACCGCCGTTGCGGCCACCGCCGTTGCGGCCGCCGCCGTTACCGCCGCCGAGGCCCCAGGATGAGCCGTTGGAACCCTTGGCCTCGTACACGAGGCCGGGCACATTCTTGAGGCCCATCTTGCCAACGGTGGACTTCTTGAGCGGCGGGATGTAGGTAAGGCCCTGGATGGCGGCCCAGCGGTTGGCAGCCTGAACGACATCCTCGGCGCGCCAGCGGAGCTTCTTGAGGGCACCCTTGTAAAAGCCGAGCCACGACTGGTACGACTGGCAGGCGGCGAGGTTGAGCTCGTTGTCAGTGGGGACGGTGGCGAGGACGGCATCGAGGCGGGCCGTGGCAGGGAGACCGGCCATGGGCGACGGCGGGACGTCAACGCCGTCGGCGTCCTTGTCCGCGTCGGTGAGCGGGAGGTCGGCGAGCTCACGGAGAATGAACGTCTCAAAGTCAGCCAGGATGAGGACGCCCTTGCCGGTGCGGCCGGCGCGCGAAGTCCGGCCAAGCCGGTGAATGTACTGCTCGCGCGAGGTGAAGCCGATCTGGACAACGTGGGTGATGCCCGGAAAGTCGAGACCGCGGGCCGAGACGTCCGAGGAGAAGAGGACAAAGCCAGCGTTGTCGCGGAACTTCTTGGTCACCTTTGTGCGGTACGACTGCGACTTGCGCGAGTGGATCTCGAGCGTCGGCACGTCGAGCTTGCGGAACAGGGCGGCAAGGTAGCCGGTGGTCCGGGCCGTGGTGCAGAAGACGATGATCTTGAACTGGTCGTTCTCGGCAATGGCCTGCTGGATGGCGAGGTAAGTGGCGTGGAGGATGTCGCCAAACTCGCGGACGACGTACTGCTGACGGACCTTCTGGCAGGTGGAGACTGCGTCCTCACCGATGGTGTCAACAAACTCGTGGTCACGGCGCATGGCAACGTGGCAGATGGCGTGGAGTGACTTGGGCACCGTCGCCGAAAACAGGAGCGTCTGCCGCGACTCGATGGCCGGGAGGAATGCGAGAATGCGCTCAATGTCCGGGCGGAAGCCCATCTCGAGGAGGCGGTCGGCCTCGTCAAAGACGAGGACCTGGAGCGAGGCCGAGATGCGCTCCGCGAGGCCACGCGTGTTGCGCAGGTGGTCCAGCAGCCGCCCGGGCGTCGCCACAAGGATCGAGACCGCGCCCGGCGAGGTGAGCTTGCGCGTCTCGGCGCCCATCTTGACGCCTCCAAAGACGCAGAGCGTGGCAATGCCGCTGTAGTTGACCGTCAGCCGCGATGCCTCCTTCTCAATCTGCTGGGCGAGCTCGCGCGTCGGCGAGAGAATGAGCGCCGAGATGTCGGCGCCAGCCGAGCCCGAGACAAGGATGTTCTGGATGGTCGGGATGAGGAAAGCGAGTGTCTTGCCCGTTCCTGTCCGCGCACGCACCAGCACGTCCCGTCCAGCGAGAATAAACGGCAGCGACGCGTCCTGCACGTCTGTCAGGTGGGTGTAGCCCATGCCCGACACAATAGCGTCAATCATGCCGGCGTCGATGGCCAGCGACGAAAACGTGGCGTTGGTCAGGTGCTCCGCAGTCGTAGCAGACATGCCTGCCGGTACCGAAGCGCCGCTGGTCGTCTTGGCCTTCTTGGCCGGCCGCGACGTCGAGTTGGTCGACGACGTTGACGATGCCGGCGACATCTGCCCGCGTCCGCCGTTGCCGCTACCCCTGTTGCCTGCCGCTCCGCCGTTGTTAGTCCACCGCGTGGCAGACGACGCCGGTGGTGCCCGCCCGGAGCCGTTGCTGCCGTTGGCTCCGCCGCGCGGTGCCGGCGGCTGGTCTGCGTTCGGGCAATCGCGCTTGATGTGGCCCTCCTGTCCACAGTGGAAGCAGCCCTTGTTGCGCCCACCGCGGCCGCGGCGGCGGTTGCGCTTGCGCGGGTCTGTGGCGTGCGCGGGTGGGGGGTGAGTCCAACAATATTTTTGCGCGTGGCTGTACCTTCACTCTGCCCAGGCGCTCACTCGGTGGCCGTCTCAAATATCTGACATTAGCTCTCTCCCGCCCGCCCGCCCGCTCCCTCGGCTCGGCCGCACTGCTTGGCGCGACCATTAGCAGGGGGGGGGGGGGGGGGGAGGGGAGGGAGGGACGGAGGAGGAGAGCAAGGAGGAGCGAGGGAACAAGGAAAGGGGCGAGGAGGAGGAGGAGGGGGGCGGTGGGGAGGGCGGGCAGGCGGGCGCGGGGAGGCTGGGTGGCCTGGGATGGCCGGCCATCCCCGACTTTGAGCATGTTGTGGTGGGCGGGAGGGTGGCGGGGAGGGAGAAGGAGGGAAGGGCGGAGGGCGGCGGATGGGCTCCAGGGGGGCGTACTAGTCGGTTGGGAGTTGGGAGTGTTGGAGTCCATGATTGATGGACGAGAAGTGTTGCCTAGATGCGCCTGTCCGTGCTGGCCAGCTGGTCGGCTGGCGGCCGCGAGTGGCGGGAACGTTGTTGTGCCTGAAACGTCCATTTGTTCCAATGTCCTCGAATTGATGACCGACGATGACGTATGTTCGCGGTGGGCAGAGGGGGGGGGGGATGGGTGACAACTCACGAGAGTTGGTGTCGATGGGGGTGGACGCCCACCATCGTCGGGCTATCGCCTCAACTGGAGCAGGATCATTGTGGCGCACCTTCTCATGGCCGCCGTGCTGGTGGTGGTGGTGGCGGGCAACGCGGCGACTTGGATCGAGGTGACGGATTGGGACGACCGGTCGTCGACTTGCGCAGGCCAGGGGACGACGCTGTTGTTGGACACGTCGACGTGCTACTACTCGTCGACGATCGATGCATACTACAAGGTGAGCGCGTCGTGCACGACAGGCCAGGACAATGTGCTTTTTACCGTCTGCGACGACTCGGCATGTTCGAGCAACTGCGCCGCCGCATCGACCGGCGCCGTCGGCTTCAACACCTGTGCTGGCACCAGCCGCGTCTTTGGCCGCCCGCCCAAGTCCGGCTCATCCGAGCACTACCTCAAGCCGCTGCTGTGCTACACCGATGTCGGCATCCCATCGGCGTGGGACTCCAAGCCGGTCCTCGCCCACTTTAGCGGCCGCACCTGCACCGGCAAGGCCACCCACTTTGCCGACATCTCGTGCTTCTACTCGGACGCTTTCGGCGCCCCGGCCGTCACTCAGTGCTCCGCTGGCAAGCTCAGGACCGCAAAGTGCATCCACGGTTGCCCCGATGGCTGCGCCTCGCTCTCGGACGAGAGCCCGGCCTGCCATGCCTCATCGGGCACGACTGGCTCGGGTGCTACCCTCCACTTTTCCACCATCGCAGAGTGCACCCCGACTCGCTTCCGCTCTGCCGCCGCTTCGCTCGCCCCGCGCCCGATTCTGGCCGCCGCCGCCGCCATCCTCGGCTTCTGGCTCGCCGCCGCCCTTGCCTAGTCGACGATGACGACGACAACAGCTGTAGCAGCGTCATATCCAATGGATTTATTGCATAAGTATCCCTTGATCCCTTGTTGTAGTCTTGATCCCTTGTTGTAGTCTTGCCATTGTCCCCGGAGATATAAGTAAGGTGCAATTGATGATGTGCATATGTGTGCCGAGGGTGTGCAACGAGGGTGTGCAACGAGGGTGTGCAACGAGGGGACGAGGAGACCGAGGCAGCACGGGTCACTCACACATCCTCCTCCGGAACAAGATGTATCGCGTGCATCAAGTCCGAGTTGGGGATGATGGGGCAGCCAGTGATGAGCGACGACGACGAGGTGACGCCCGAGGCTGACACCGAAGTCGATGCCGAGGTCGAGGTCGACGCTGCCGTCGAGGTCGACTCGTGGACAGCAGAGTCGACGAGTGGGTAGCCGGCATTGTCCATGTATGCACGCTCAGAGTCGCGGCGGGAGGCGTCGGCACGAGCCGCTGCCGAGTTGATGCACGCCCGGACGGTGGGAAGTCTGAGCGATGGTGGGATGGAGCCGAGTCCGGTTGTGGACGAGAGTGACGATTCCGAGGTGAGTGCCGAGTACGAGGACGAGCCTGCAAGCGATGCTGGCCGCGAGCAGAATGGCGACCGCACGGTCTGTTCGGGCGCTGTCGGTTGCGGTGAGGCTGAAATGTGGTAGACGCGCGCGGCAGTCCCGCTGCCGGCCGAGACATACACGCCAGTCTCGCATGCAAGTTGCGGCGGTGAGAGGAGGGCAAGCGGCTGTGGGAGGGTGATCATTTGGACCAGCGCTCCGTTGCGCGCCGACCGGACCTCAATGCCGTAGTCGGAGAGAGCCAAGATGTAGTAGTCGATGGCGACAAACGATGTCGGCGCGTAGCACCAGCATAAGGGTGCCGCCCGCTGCGGGAGCTCGCCGGTGTCGGCGTCGACAAGGATCGACGAGACGCCCGAGGCTAAGAAGATATGCGACGACGGTGTGTCGATCGAGATCTCGATGGCCGCCGCCGCCGTAGACGCCGGTGTGATCGGCAGCTTGTGCCCTTTCTTGTTGAGCGTCACAAACTTGCCGGTCCGAGCATGCATGATGAGGTAGGTGCCGGCAACCGCGAGCCCGAGCCGTCCTGTGGAGAGGAACGTGACAAACGACGGCGCCGTCTCGAGGTTAATCCGCGTGTCGAGGACGTAGGCGCCAGCAGGGGCGACCCAGTCAAAGACATGGAGCGAGGCCTTGACCGAGACCACAACCTTGTGGCTCGTCTGGCAAACCGCAAGCCACTCGCACCGCTTCGTCTCGGGCAGCCGGTGGACAATGGCCTTGCCGAGCGCGGTGAGGTGGAGGACGACAACGCCATGCTTGCGCTTGCACAGCCGCGCCACCGCGAGCCCGAGATTGTGTACCACGTAGATGGCATCGGCCTGCTTGCCAAACAGCGTTGTCTTTGCAGTGTCGTCCGGCGAGAGCAGGTGGATTCCGTCGGCGTCAGAGTAGACAGCCGCGTTGCGCCACGGCGCAAAGGCGGTCACTGCCGACGGGCCGGGCGGAAGCGCGTTCACCGCCGAAAAGACCGTCAGTGCGTCTGACGCCGCGGCCAGCGGCATCACTGACGACCGCCGCGGCCCGCGGAGTGCAGATCCCAGAAGCGGCGGCAAGTTCGTTCCGCTTGTGCATGCCGCTTCACCCGACGGCGGCCCGACCCCGTACCCGGGTTCGCTCCCGTCGACTGCCGCCATGGCCGAGTCGAGGAGGTCTTTGCGGAACGCTGCTGCAGGGCCTGCGAGCCCTGGTGCCGACGCCCGGGCCGATGCCAGCCCGTTGATCACGTTGGTCAGCATCGAGTGGACCGCCGTCTGCGTCGCAGGCACCTTGAGTGAGGAAAAGTGCGGGCCAAACGGAGCGATCGACGCCGCATGCGCGTACTGCATCACGTACGCGTCCGAGTCGTCAGGATGCGGCGAGACGACAACCGTGACGTGGACATGCTGCGAGCCGAGCGACGACGGCGAGAACAGCGCGCTCTCACGGACGCCCGAGTGGAATACAATGATCGCCGGCGTGTGCGAGACCAGCGCCTTGCGCCGCGTCGACCGCACAAACGAGCACTCGTCGTCGTCAACCTCGTTGGGAATAAGCGGCGCCACGTGGAACATGACATCCTTGCCTGCAAGCTGGGTAAACATCGAGTGCTCGCCCGACGTCCCGTTCTCCGTGTCCAGCGAGCCGGGGTAGCCATCCCACCCCAAGAGCGGCACGCACGTCCCGAGCCGCGCGATAAACTCGCACAGCGGCGCATCCGCAGAAGCCGGATACGTCGCGTTGTTGCCCAGGAGCTCAGACCGCGTCACCTGCCCGTCGTGCGCATACACCACCCCAATCGGCAGAGCACGCAGGAAACTCTCGTCCTCGAGCACGAGGAGAGTCTGCACAAAGTTGGGGCCCACCACGCACCGGAAAAACGACCGGACCCGGTACAGGCTGTTGGGATCGACGACCGCCAGTGCCGCGCGCAAGTCCGTCTTGAACGACCGGAACGCCTTGCGCGCCGCAAACGCCACCCGTCGCACAGTCGTCTCGCACCACACAATGGCGCGGATCGTCCCGTGCTTGCTCCTGCCCTCGGCTGTTCGCATCACAGAAACGACGTACACTGAGTCGAGGTCGGCCACAAAGTTTGCGTGCGGCGCTCCGAGGAACAGCAGCCGGTACCAGGCAAGGAGAAGCTTGGGATTCTCTTCAACCGTGTTGTACTCGGGCCCGGTATACCACGAGCCCACAGGCTCGATCGTCTGCCACCCCGGCGCGTTCAGAACGAGCCGTGACGTCGCCACGTGCACAGGCAGCGCCTTGGTCGCTGCAAGATCCGACGGCTGCGTCTCGGCGCCAAGACCGTCCACGTCCGCCCCGCTACTCATCAGCGTGCCCAGCGTCCGCACATCGCGCGGCGTCGACGGGCCGCTCGACTGCTCCTCTGGCCCTGCTCGTCTCTCGTTCCCGCGAGCAGGGGCTGCTTCCGCACGCGTCTCGTACGCCACCTGCGCGGCGTTTCCATCGGCGTCCAGCTCAAACGAGAGATCACCATCGACAGCCCGCGCCGCCCGGATCGCCGCCACAAGCTCTGCTCGCCACCGCGACGTCAGCCGCGCGTCGGCCGCCGCCAAAATGAGAGTCGGCAGTGATGCCCGGTCGATGTCGTCCACCGCCGCCACCGCCGTCAACGCAGACGATGTTGACCGTGCAGTCGTTGTCTCACTTGCCTCCTCGTCGTTCTCAGACTCGATGCCGGGAAGGCCGCCAACGGCCTCGAACAACGGCGCGAGCCGGAATGGCGTCGCAGGCATGCCACATGGCCCAGAGCTAGATGCCGCCGCCACAGGCACTTGCTGCAGCTGCGATGAGTACGCATCGAGCGGGAGAGTGAGCGTTGCGAGCATCTGGTCCTTGGCCGAGCCCGGGGCGCTGGCAGAGCCACCGGGGCAGACCGGCCGGAGCACAAGATGCGCCGCCGAAAGAAGCGCCTCGTACTCGGTCCTACGCGCCCATGGAATGAAAAACGTGAGTATGCAGGAAGGGGGGGGGGG